TATTTTTATTTTTTATTTCAGCATAGTACGAGGGTACAAATGTTTAGGTTACATATATTGCCTTTGCCCCATCCAAGTCAGAGCTTCAAGCATGTCCATCCCCCAGATGGTGCACAACGCACCCGTTAGGTGTGAATATACCCATCCCCCCCTCCCCACCTTCCCGACACCTGATGAATGTTACTACCAGATGTGTAATGGTGTATTTAATTCTAATAGCACAGAGAGAGACCATGAATGTGGTCTTGTTATGTAAATGAAACCTCACAGGTAGCAGCTTTCAGAGAATGTCTCCAAAGCCAGGGCCCTGGGCTGCATGCCCACAGCCTTTTGCAGGATGGCCTGCCATGCCCTGTTCTGGGCTCTCTGGTCCCTGATGACCCCATCAGGGGTGGCCAAGCTCCACTGCAGAGTGCACGTCTCTCGACCTGGGGGAGAGGGCAGACTTGAGCTCCCTCCCTGCCCAATCTGGCCTGGCCCAGCAATGACCATCTAGTACAACCCACTTCCCTGGGTCCCCTGGGAGAAAAGAGGGGAGGGGGTGACGCTCAGGCCTGAACGACTGCACCTTCGATGTTTGCCTTCTCCTGTTTTCCCTTCCCACCCACTACTGCCCCTGTCAGCTCCAAAGAGTAGGCTTTGAATTTTCCAGATTGTGTTTGGTTTCTTGTTCCTTCTGCCGGTGTAGAAACTGACATCTATCTATTGGCATGGGTGGTTCCGGGTCTGCGGACAAGGACGTGGCAGGGAGGGGACCGGATGCTGGGCCCTAGGCTGGAAACAGAACACAAGGGTGGGCAAGGAGCTGAACAGGAGCTAGGTCATTGTCCAGATGCAGTTGTGTGGGGAGGAGCTGGGGCCTCAGGGTCACCCTGGGGGGCAATGGTGTCAGAGACAATGAGGACAGAAGCTGTGGCTGGGCCTTCCCGGGGGCTCCTGACTCCTGGGCTGAGGGTGTGATGCCAAGTGCCCAGATTCCTGAGCCTCTCGGAGTACATGGGGGCCGGCCATGGTGACCAGCCCACCCTTCCCACTGGGACGCCTCCATCACAGTGGGACAAAATCTATATTCATTTTTACTGCTGTGTAACAAATTTCCACAAATGTAGCAGCTTAAAACAACACAAATTTACTAAATCACAACTCCGTATGTTGGAAGTCCAGTGGCTCATGTAGGTTCTCTGCTTAAGGTCTCACCAGGTTGAAACCAAGGGATTGGCTGTGGGCCTCTTATCTGGAGGCAGAAGAAGAATTCATTTCCAAGTCCCTTTGGGGTGTTGGCAGAATTCATTCCTCGGGGTTGTGAGTCTGAGGTTTTGGTTTCCCTGATGGCTGTCAGCTGGGGCTACTGTCAGCACCTAGACATTGCTCACAGTTCGTGGCCCCTCCGCCTTCAACACCAGCAACAGAGAATCTCCCTCTCATGCTTCAAATCTGTCTGGCTCCGTCCAGAAAAAGAGGGGCATGTAGGCCCGATGGTGCACCTGCTGGTTTGCCCATCTCTGGGTGCCCTGCACCCAGCCCTGGCTAGGGCTGAGGAAGGTAAATACAAGCCAAGAGAGGAGGGAGTGTGACCCCCAGGACACAGGAAAGACACCTGGCTGGGGTGGAGTCAGATTTGGTGAGCCCCAGGGAGAAGAGGCAGCAGGGGATGGGCAGATGGTGAATGGATGGCCCCTTAGCTTTATGAGGCATCTCAGCCTCACATCAGGAGGAGGGGGAATGTGCAGGTCCCCAGAGGCTGAGGGACCCCAGCATCTGGCTCCAGATCAACCTCACCAACCACCATTAGAGGCTGAGGTGAGCATGAATCCAGGGACTGTATGTGGCCACATTGGTGTAGACACCCGGTCGGCTGGGCAGGGCGCAACCCTTGCCCCAGCTCACCACGCCCACCAGGACCCAGCGCCCAGACTGCAGGCAGGCCAAGGGTCCCCCAGAGTCACCCTGCGGGAGAAAGGCGAGCTTAGGTCCCAGCCCTCCCGTGACTTCAGAGTAGTCCTCTAGGCTCTAGACCCCTGAGGTTGTACCTCTGGGTTGAGGGCCAGGACACCGAGCCTGGAGTTGGTATATTTTGGGTCTTGGATTCTAGGGAGGTAGGGTGCTGGGCACAGGGGTGTGGACTCAGAGGCTGGGGGCAGGGAGGTACACCTGGCAGGCGTCCTTGCGGCCCTCAGTGTAGCCAGCACAGAGGTTCCCTGGTAGCACTATGCGCTCGGCCTGGGGCACGTCCGAACCCACGTGGTAGAGGCGGTCACAGGTGCGTGAGTCCAGCAGAGGCACCCTTACTCCCTGCAGGGGTCGCCACTCTGGGAGTGGCACTGGGGGAAGAGGGGATACGTCTGAAAGCCGGGAAAGAGCAAGGCATGAAGCTGGGGTCAGTGGGAGAAGGGGAGAAGCGGAGTACGAGAGTCCAACTTGCCGGCTCGAACTCCCTGGTCTGCCTGGGAGGAGGTTTGAGTGCCTAGAAGTCGCGCTGGGTCCTGGGTTGGGGCACTGGGGTCTGGGATTTCCAGTCAGATGGAGGAGGAGGGAGCTCCCTCAGTGCCCCGGCGCCCCTTCCTCCGTGCCTTACCTCCTGGGCGGAGGCTGCCCCAGCCAGTGACCCAGCACGGTGTGCGGGGCGCTGGGCGGGCGCCAGGAGCTGGCAGGCAGACAGGCTGGACGCGGGCGCTCAAGGGCACCGGGTGGCGCAGCTGCAGCAGCGCCAGGTCGCCACGGGCACGGTCCTCGGAGTAGTCTGGGGGCAGCAGCATCCGCCGCACGGTCGCTGAGAGCGCGCGGGGCGAGGTGGGGCCCAGGCGCAGCGCCCCCAGGCGCACGCGGTACTCTGACGGCAGCGCCCTCCTGCACGACGGGATCTGGGACTACCTACTGCTCCGGGGCCTCGACCCCCGCCGGCCCTAACCCCACCAGCCGGCTGGGAGCCGGCACAGCCCCTGCGCCCCCGCCAGGCGGCGCCCCTCCCCCGCGGGCCTCGCTTTCCCCGCGCACCCCGCGGCCTCTCCGTGAGCGCTGACCTGGGAAAGCAGTGCGCGGCTGTCAGCACCCACTCGGGGGCGATGAGCGACCCCCCGCACACGTGCGCCCCACGGTGCTGGATGCTCGCCTGCCAGGGCCACTCTCCATCCTGGGCATCCCGGCCCCCCACGATCCGACTGGACGCACGGGGCTGCCCGCAGGCTGCGAGAGGACGAGGGGGTGGCGAGGGTTGGCAGAGGACTGGGGGCGCAGGCGGCGGGTGTGGGCGGGGAGACACCGGGACAAGGTCCAGGAGGGCTGAAGCGGACGGGCTTTGAGGCTTCCTTACCTGCAGACTTCCTTACCTGGGTCCCAGAAGCTCCTGGAGGAGGAAGCAGGGAAGGGACTGGATTGTGGATTTAGTGTCAAATAACGAGGTTGGGGAGGGAGGTCAGAGAATAGGAATGAGAGGGGAACATATTTGTTCCCCTGACCTTGTGTCAGGATTTTGTGCAATCTGCTACTGGGTTTAACTCTCCCCAGAGCACTGTAAGGGTGCGGAGGGAGGGACGTAGGCCCATCACACAGACAAGCACATCTGGGTCTGGAGAAGCCAAAGTCAGTGGCAGAAAGGACCGGGACCGTTGGAATCAAGATTAGAACCCCCGAGAGTGCTCTAGGGGAACCGGACCCAGAAAGGGGTGAGATAGGAGACCTGGGAGCCCGGGTCCCTGTGGCCAGCATCCCCAGCACCCGGCCCCCACTCACCCAGCACCAGCAGGAGCAGGACCTGGAGGCAGGAAGCCCCCCTCATTCTGTCTTCCGGGCTGGGCTGGGTAAGTAGCTCTCCCCAGGGCTGGGACTCTGGTCTGGAGCTGGCAGAGAGGAGAGGAGAGCTTCCTAGCCCAGGGGTCCCCTGCCCCCCACCGCCGTGGCCCTTCTGTCTGCCCTCAGCTGCTGGTTGGGCCTGGACCTAACCTGTGGCCCAGGCTCTATATATTTTCCTGTGCGCAGGCCCCAGGTGACCACTGCTGGCCAAGGTGTAGCCCCATCGTGAGCAATTTTGGCATCCTAGGGCTCAGCAGAAGCCCGGAGCCTCATCGCCCTCCCTCATCCTCTCTGTGCCAGCAGCTGCCTGCCTGCTCTCACCTCACAGCCTGGCGGCCTCTCTGCTCACTGGGCTTGGGGGAGGGCCGGGGGCTTAAAGGGCCAGGAGGGGGAGACCCAGTTGGGGTGATTAACGCGGCCAAGGCGGAGCTGTGGCTTCACCTCAAACAAAGATGCTTTGAACAGTTCTTTACAGGTGGCAGGGAAGGGACACCTGGGTTTCTCAAAGACAGACTGGCTTGGGCCGAGGTGCTGAGAGCTGGGGGCCAGAGCCTGGGCCCAAGGAGGGCGGGCAGGGAGGGGCCTGCGGTCAGGCCAGGAAGTTCCTGAGAATCCTTGGCAGCCCATCTCGGAACCTGACCCCAGCTCCTGGCAGTGCTCTGTTGCTGGGGCTTCTGAGCTCTGTTGTTCTGTCCAGTCCTCCTGGCGCGGAGTCCTGACCACAGACCCCAGACCCCAGGCCTGGCCAGATAGTCCTACGCAGAGACCCCAGCCTGGCCAGCCCCTTCCCGAATCATGAATCTGGAGGAGCTGGATGTGGGGTCCCACCAGTTCAGAGCTAGCGGTACTCCTTGCTTGACCAGAGGCAGGGGCAGACCTGACCTTGGGAAATGGGGCGCTCTTTGGTTTGGGGTGCCCTTTGTCTCTGAACATGTTCCCTCTGGCCAACTTCCATCTCTTCTCCATTCATCCAAATCCACTGGGAAGTCCGCAGACCCTCACGCCTGGAAAGGGCCACTGGACTCACTGCTGTCCCCTGGAAACAACGATGTCCACTCCAGCCCTACCTTGGAATCTGCCCACCGTCTCCCAGCCTCACTCTTCCTCTGTGTGGACCAGCCAAGCCTGCTCACCAGGCAGGGCCCCCCGGCCCCCACCCATGCATGGCACCCCAGGGGGCAGTGGAACAGCGCCACTGGATCACAGCGCTCGCTGATACAATTGTAGCAGACTGGCAATTCCACCTGCAGTCAGGCCAGCCGCCCCCGGTGAGTGATGCTGTCCTGCAGGGCAGGAGGACATCCTAGGCAGGGACCAACTGCGGCTGCCCCCCGCCCTGGTGTGGGGAGCCAGAAGCCCCTCCAGCCTTGCCCCAGCCTCACCGGTGACCTGGGAGGGTCTGCTGCTGGTGGACGCATTTTCCACACAGCAGGGCTGCGGGCTGCAGAGGGGGAGGAGTCAGGCCAGAGCTCCTCCCACCTTCTGCTCACAGCGTTTAGGCATCTTGGCAAGTGCAGATCTGCTTTCACAGTCCAGAGGGCCCACAGAGTCTGCCCTGCTGGGCTGCTTCCTTGGCCACGCTGATGCTGGGGTCGGGGGACGCTGATGGGGGACACACAGGGTCGACGTCCTCCCAGTAACCCCGCCCCAGCCACTTACGGTGCAGCTGTTGCAACTCTCTCAGTGCTCACAGCCTCACCTGGGGTCTGCAGTTCTAGAGCATCCCATGTCCCCAGGACCACCCTCAGTGGGGTGGTCATGAGAGAACTGTCCTCCCCTGTATCCTTGTCCTCAGTGGGCCAAAGCTGAGCCTCCAGCAGGACTCTGCCTCTGTTGTCTTCTATGGTAACCTTCTAGTTTGAGCAAATGCATCAGAATTTTTCTTCCCTGCCTCAGTTTCCCTACCTCCTCACCTTTGCTTCCTGGGATCACCTTCCAAATAAACCACCAGCACCAAAGTCTTGGGCCCATGTTGACCTATGCGGGGAACATGGTAAGACCAGGAGTGTCTGGCATTTGTGAGATGGGAAACCCTGCAATGGTGGGGGCACTGGGAGCATTTCCTCCATGGCACCCCCACCCCAGGCTTCCCAGACCCTGACACCTTGGAGCTACTACTGTTTCCATCAATTATCATCCTGATTGAACTAACGGGAGAGAGGTCTGCTGTTTGCAACCAAAACCTAGAAACAGATTTAAGAGTTAATGGGGGTCTGGGCATGGACTGGACATGAGTTAGCAGGACCGAGTTGTTCTTGAGGCTACTTCGGTCCACAGAAAGCTCTGCAAGCATCAACTTGAACATGCATAATCTTTATCAGCCATCAGGACAGAGCGTGAGACTGGGGTCTGTCCAGCAGGCATCCCCGACCCCAACCCTGCCAGTACCCACGATCCAGGGGGAGTGTGCCAAGGCTGTGGTGCCCACTGCACCCTGATGGCCTCTGGTGGACTCAGACCAGCTGCAGGAGTTGGGGGGACCACAGCAGAGCAAGGAGCAGCAGTAACCAGGAGGGGTCTGGCCTGTTTGTACTGCAGGACATGAGCTTCTGGATCCAGTTGAAGTACACACGGACATTGGTGTAGATACCAGGCCGGTTGGGCCGACCACAGCCCATTCCCCAGCTAACGACTCCAACCTGATACCACAGTCCATCCTTGTCACAGACCAAGGGTCCACCTGAGTCACCCTAGGGAGCAGCATGGACAAGACCAGCGTGGGGTGGGGTCAGGGAGCAGAGGAGGGGCTAGGAGAGCAGGAGGGGCTGTGGGGCTGGGTGAAAATCCTACTCCTCTCCTGGCAGCAACTGAGCCTCAGTTTCTCCATCTGCAAAGTGGGGCAATAGCCTCCCAGGGTTGGTGGGATGATCAGAGGAGGTACAATTTATTCAAGATGAAAAGCACGTTTTATAGCCTTGGTAAATAAGGACTTCAAATGTTTCCTCATGAATAAATGCCAAGGGTGGGTTTGTGTGGGCACATGGGGTTGCTCTAAGGCCCAGGTTGGGAAGGGTGGGATTCCCTGGTGGGGTACAGGCACTCACTTTGCAAGTGTCTACGCTGCCATCCTCAGCACCAGCACAAAATATGGAATGGTGGATCGGAATGCGTCTAGAGGGCTGTGTGAACACGTAGCCACACCTGGTGTTGTTTAAGATGGTGACCTGCACTTCCCAGAGGTTGTAGGGAGGTGGAAGAGATGCTGGGGAAAGGACAGAGAAAGACACAACCTTAGCCTCTCCTCTGCCGTCGAGGGCAGGAGAAGGAGGGAGGGCACATGTTACATGGTGATGGTGTCTCTGCCACACCCACAGTGCCCAGAGCATTGCTTATCCAGCTCGTCATGCATAATCAACACTACCACAGAAGTTCCTTAGAGTTATGGATTCTGGGAAAAAAATGTCACAGAAGGACCTGACCCAATGGATGGACAGGCTGTTAAAGCTCCCTCTGGGACTCAGTTTCCCTATTTGTGGAACAGAGATGATAGCACTGGCCTGAGCCAGTGGAGGGAGTCCTTAGCCAAAGCGTGGCAGGGAAGGGGCTAAGGTGGATGAGAATGTTTATGATTACTACACTACAGTTGCACGATCCAGATCAAAACTTGCCAAATTTGAT